AGCGCGAGACCCAGACCATCACGCTGGCAGGACCCAGACCCGCCTTGTGTGAGCACTGGCCCCCAGACCCCCTCTGCATGAGCTGCAGGCCCTGCTTCACCGCAAGCCCCACCAGCTTCACAGGAGCCCCGCCAGCCTTGCGTGAGCGCCGACCCACTACTGTGAGTGGCTTATGAGCTGGGGCGGATGGACTGAGAGGTGCTCCAGCACCTCCTGGTGACTGGTTGTTTGGTCGTTCCGCATTACAGCGTAACGGCCACAGGCCTTTTATAATATAGATAATCTTGTAGGAGAAAAAGGCCATGCAAAAGAAAAAGACCTTTGAGGTATAAACCATGTCTGCCTTGTTCATCACGATATCACTAACACTTATCACTGTATGTGGCACCTATGTTAAATTCAATGCATATTCTTTGAGTGAATTAAACTCTGCTACAGTACAATGTATGGAGCAAGCACAGAGTGCCATGAAAACACAGATATGGAAAAGAGAAGAGAAGAAGTCAAACTGCAATTTTCAAAACGTTAAGAACATAAATTCCCATAAAAATCATTTGTAATGATTGTAATTAACTCATAAGTGAGAGAGCAGGTAACAAAACTGGTTCAAAAGCAGTTAAAATTCAATCCCAAAATAAGACAGCTAAGTTAATGTCCAAAGGTCAATAAAACTATACTAAACTTTTATTTCCCCAAGTCAGATGATCCTTAGATATATTTATCAGATAATGTTTTAGCATTATATTAAAAAGACATGGAATTTGTTTTTGCCTTAATTCCAGATTTCAGGCACTTTTCACAACAAAAGCTCTTTGAGATATTATTGCACTTGATGGCTGAAGCAGTTGTAGAAGTTGTCCAGTGAGAATGGTAAAGGGAAAGCCAACAAGTGTTCCAGGCATTTCAATCATTCGCTGCTAGTGTCAGACCTTGAGCTTGTTCAACAATGAAAATGTTTTGGTTCTAAACAATTTTTGAGCACAACTTTAAATTTTACCAACCTTATACTTTACCTCTTTTTACACGGGCTTTTCAGCCTCATAGAGACCTCTGGTCCCTTGATTCTTTCATGCTGTCTCAGGCTAGCAACTTCAGCCTTGAATAAACTACTTGGTTTAACTCAATAACCTACTCTTGTCTCAACACTCCATTCTGTTCATATGGTTACATTGCTCCTCTTCCATGGAAGAACTGAATTTATTTGCTTACATTTATTATCTGAGCAAGTAAGCTGAGTAAGATAATGTTTGAATGGAGGTTTGAACTTACTAATTAGCCATACTTTAAAAGGGAAATAGAGATAGAGGGAGGATCCACATATATTACTGTTAGAGGGAACATGATTTGGGATTTACTGAGGAGGAAGCGAATGTGGGAACAACTCTCTTCTGGGAAACTGACTGGTGGACATCTGTGTTTCAGTTGCTGAATCCAACAATACGACAATCATCATAATGAGTATAGTTTTGGCATTTCTGGTACTTTCGAATGTCATCACCCTTGGGCTTTATTTAAACAACTGTCTCAAAAACCAGCACAAAACCAGGTAAAGGTATTCTTTTTTTCAATATACAATCATCCCTTCTCAGAGGTATCTGTCCTTCACCTTTCTGCTTAGGAACAAGATCAAAATCAGCAAAGGTTCTATGCAGAGGAAGTTACATCAATGAGACTCTAATACCTCAACCATAAAATCCTATCTAATAAAAGACAAATAGGGTAATTAACCATACCTCCGATACGCTTCCTATTGGCTAATCAGGGCAATATACAAATTAACTGCCAACCAAGATGGCGGTTAACCGCCAACAAAGATGGCAGCTAATTTGCATACTGCAGGCACGGCAGGACAGTGCCATCCCGCCTGCCCCACTGCCATCCTGGCCTGCTATCTGCGACCCAGGCAGCAGGCGGGACCACAGCCATCCACCACCAGCCATGCCCACAAAAGGCCCTCCCGCACTGATCTGCCACCAGCCAAGTCCACAAATGGCCCTCCTGCGGGGATCTGAGGCTGGCAGGTGCTAAGCACAGATCCACCACCGGCCACACCCACAAACGGCCCTCCCACGGGGATTCGAGGCTGGCAGGTGCTAATTCACCGATCTGCCAACACACACCCGGGCCACCTTTGCCCTGTGCAAACTATGCAGCTGGGAGAGGGAAGTGGGGCCACTGGGAGCAGGGCGGGAACTGCCCGGGGTTTGCGTCAGGCAGCCGAGAGCGGAGTGCGAACTATCCCAACAGGTAGCTTCTTGCTCATTTACTTACTCACTCATTCATTCACTCATTCACTCATTCACTCACTCATTATCCACTCACTCAGCAAACCCTCTCAGGTCCCTGGCACCAGGCTAGGCACTGAAGGTGAAGCAGGATAAGACGGAGCTATGTCCTCAAGATGTTAGTAATTCAGTAGGGCGAAGCAGGCACATGAACGAGGCAGTTGTATGCACAGATGCAGTGTGCTGGGTTCGGTGAGGGCTGTAATTAAGGCCGACTTTGTTGTCTTGATAAAATGGGGCCTTGGGAGCCAGGCCGCCCCAAGCCTGTAGGCCTGTGCCTAGGCCAGGAGTGGCCAGGGTCCCGGAACATGACAGAGGGTGCAGGTTGGGCTGAGGGGTCTGGCCCCACCCCTCATCCTCACCCCTGAGTGCACAAATTTTTGTGCACTGGGCTACTAGTCCTATATAATAAAAGGGTAATATGAAAATTGTCCCCTCCACCAGGAGTTCGACCAGAGTTTGACCAGGGGGTGGGGACAGCCTGCCAATCACCCAGGGCCCCTCCGCCCACCAGGCCCCCCACACCCTGATCAGCCAACCTCCCGCATCCCTTCACCCCCGCTGGCCCAGCCCTATTGGCCTCAATCGGGGTGGGCCGGCTGTACCCTACCTGTACACAAATTCATGCACCAGGCCTCTAGTATGGAAAATAATATGTTACTTATAGAACTTCTGGTGGTTACTTATAGAACTTCTGGTGGAACTTTGTGTGTACCAACACAAAGGCATTCAATGAAAGGCTATTATTATTCGGATTAAGGT